AAAAAATTGTTTTAACAAAGATTTTAGAAATTTCAACTGACAGCAGCACTAGCTAATATTACTATTACCATTATCCATTTTAGAAAATCATGATTATTCAAAAAGTTGATGCATATTATGGTAACAAATTTTATGAAGACAGAATATATGGTTGTCAGAAAAAGGAACAACCCTAAATAAAAACGACAAATTAGTGACACCAAAATCAAGCAAATATAAAAATTTAAAAATCCAAATGCACATTGGAATAGTGAAAGATGCCTTCTAAAAGCTAAGCAAAGTATAAATTTGCTAATTAATTGACTTGTGTTTTACAGCTTATTAACCCTCCATAGGTTATTCAAAGTCAAAATATATTCCAGATTGTAAGAATAATACTTCTTATTTTTTCGCAAATGAATATTGCATTAAAACTTTTTTTGAGAATAACAATGATTTTTCTAGATACATGTTCTACTATTGTACCCATAGGTTGGAGGGGGTGAGAGATAGATTCATACTTTTCCCAAAGGTATTTGTGCATAAGAGAATATAATGGACATGACTGAAATTCAAACTTGACTTTCTGATTTCTCATTCCAAATTACTATTTCACCAGCCACACATGCATAAGCAAAGTACTAAGAAACAAGAAAATTTCATTACAAAGAAAAGTGTACTGAACTGTTATGTAATATTGATTCTCTTATATGGCAATGATTACTGGACAATCTCCTCACAGATAAAGAGACTTAAAGCAATAGAAATGGAATTATACAGAAAAATGTTGAGCATACCATGGACTGAACATTTGAGTAAAAAGGAAGATTTAGGGAAAATGGAAACAAAAACCTACTTAGAATCAGAAAGAGACAAAATTTCTAAGGCACATAATGATGAAAGAAGACTTGGAGAATTTGACACTCACAGGACATTGAAAATAAGATGGATAGAGGAAAGCAGCAAGTAACCTACCTAATGAGCTTGTGTAAATGCTTGGCAAAAAAGGAATTAAGAAAGATATCAAAAAGACAAAACTTACTAAGGGCAGGAAGTTGTGGATAGCCATGATCACCCATATCTTAAAAGGGCATGACATATAGAAAGAGAAAAATGTGTAGTCAAATTGAAAAAAAAAAAAAAAAAAAAAAAAAAGGAGGATTTATATCTTACTTATTATAAAACACAGATTGTGTGTGTCTGTACGTTTATATATTAGATCGGATTTCCTACATTTTTCAACCGATTTCAACGAAACTTCACAGGACTGCATAAAATTACCTTGCAGTGGTTCTGACAGTGCCAAAAATTTGAAAAACACAATTGTTTTTGCATAAAATCAATTTGAAAACACAATAAAACACAATTCTGTCACCAGAATGAAAGGGGGACAACTCATATCAAGTTATACTTATTATAAAACCCAGGTTGTGTGTGTTTATATATGGGATCAGATTTCCTACCGATTTCAACAAAACTTCACTTTTTTTTGGCAGGTAGTGTTTCTTATTGTCTTGCACACTTTTTTCTTTATTTTTCAGAATGCTTTAAAATTCCATTTACAAGACAATTGTTTATAATAAAATTCTATTCAATCGGTAGACTCATAACAATTGAAAATAATGTTTTTGTTTGAGTTTCGGTTTGACCAATTTGTAAAAAAAAAAAAAAAAAAAAATTAAGACATGCGTGTCCGTCAACCTTAAACAATAATCTTTGTCAATTTTATTTTTCAGTCTTCATGATGGTCGATACTTGATCTATCTCTTACTGTTACATCCCCAGGCAATGCTGGGCTCTACTGCTAGTCATATATAATTGCATCCAAATTGCAACAGATGCCTTCCTATTAAATGGTTGTTAAAATTTACAAATTTCATGGTTGTTAAAATTTACAAATTTCTACGTTTATATTGTACATATTATACAGGGTGCATGGCTGAGTTGTTAGAATGTTTGCTTTCTGACCATAAGTACAGGTTCAGATGATTTGTCAGGGAGGTAACTTCTTGATGTTATCCTGCCTGAAGAGACAATCCCAGAATATGGAATCACTGAGAAGTGCCTGAAAACCATACCATGGGTTGAACCAAACCTTTTGAGGGGAAACTGAGTATACAAAACTGTTTGGAATCTGTCAATGATTACACTTATTTATATTTGGACTATTGTCCTCATCTTTGTTGTTATGAACGTTTCAGCCATTGTGCTCTGCAGCCTTCCTAAGGCATATATCGATCTGGGTAACCTACAGGGAATTCTGAATTTAATTCTTTAAATAATCTATGGGGGTAAACTCTTCTTGTTGCACTGCTCATGTCTAGTTATTATTCATATTTAGTAATGTTCAGTTTCAACTGAGTACAAGTACCCACTGCCCAATCAGGGATTGAACACACAACCATTATGTCACCAAATCTACAAGCCAACACTTTTATCCACTCGGACATTGTACTGACTTCATTCCAATTATTGATCACACTAGATGATGCACTCTCTCCCAAAAACTGTAAGGCTTGATCAACAGTTTCAGTATAGATCACAAGGTTGACTGTATGTTGAACAAACACAAAATGTGTTTGAGCAGGTGTTTGTAATAGGGGTTTGCTCATTGCTAATTGCCATAGTGGACATGTGTGCTCACAGACAACTACCTGGCCATTCCATTATTATTACACAGTGAAAACAAATCTACAAGTTTGTTGAAATTGAGTACATGAAATTTTTGTATTGGTGACTGTAAAGATAATTCTTCAGATTTATAAAGTACTGAAGTTATAATTTTTTTTCAACAAAAAAAGAAAAAAGGCAACTATTGATAAAAAGATTTTATTTAGGGTAAATGTGGACAGATGTATCTAGGGTGTGTTCGGGAACAACTCAGCTTATTCAACAAAATTTTAGCCACAGGGAAAATAAAAGCATCTGAAAGTAATATTGTGGTAGAACTTAATAAATAGAAAACTAACCTAAAAGAAAGACAATATAACTTTATTCTGATTGGTATTAAAAAATAAAATACTCAGTATATCAGATGGTGAATACAAGTCAATTTTTTATTATTATTTTTTTTTAATCATTTCACACCAAGTAAGGTGATAATGTCACTGGAGACACAAAGGCTCACTGGGTGTAAAAGAAAATGAAAAAATTAGTGAGGAGAAAGAGAAATAAAAGAACAGGATTTAGGAAGACACAAGATGGTGGTTGATGTTGCATTTAAATACTTAGATTCTAAATAGCAGGGAAATTTGGTTTGGTTAACAGCATATCAACTCCTTATGGGTCATTTAATGCCAAAATTTAATTTTCTTGAGAGCTTTAATATATATATCTCAAGTATGTGGTGCAGTTCAATTAACATTACATGAATCATTCATACAAAAACAGATATAAGTTAATGATATAAATGGTGAGAATACATCTTCATCTGTTCATACAGACAAATTTAATTAAGTAGATTAACTCCGAACCTGTAAAAAAATGTTTTGATCCCTGAATTTATAAACAGAGTTGCATAAGGTCTTTTTATTTTTTTACAAGCTTTCATCTGTTCATTAGACAATTTATGAACAGATGAAGATGTATTTCGCCATTTATATCATTAACTTTATATCTGTTTTTTGTATGAATGATTCATGTAATAATATATATATATATATATATATATATATATATATATATATATATTTGCTATTAAAATCTATTGCTATGTATTTTTATACTTTCATAGTGTTTTGACCCCAGTTTTGGGGTTCACTATTTGCCCATAGCAAGGACCCTAATAGGTGCTACTACCCCGGGTCTGGGTGGACCTGGGAACAACAGCAATTAAAAGGTGGTTCTATGCTCCTCAAAACCTCCCAATCAGAGGCTTTGTGGCAGGGAAGCAAGAAACTGGAAGAGTTCCACATGTGAGAAAACAAACTATTAGAATAGAACTTATGGTTACATTAAAAAGAATTTACCTATTTTATGATTACTTATCTTGAGCCATGGGAAAACAGTTTTGGCAGCAGGAAATATTTTGTTTGGATAGAAAAGTGTTTTTGTGTGGTTTGCCATAGAAGCAGCTGCTGAAAAAAGAAGTTAATGAAACACTTGGAAATCCTGAAATCAGTGCTGATCTTTTTGATGAAGTCTTTACTAAATCCTTTCAGTTATCAAACTGTGATAAATGGAAAGCAAAAGAAATCAGTTGTTAAGTTAAATTGCTCAAACTTTTCAACTACTTCAAAAACCAAAATATTTCTGTATCTAATCTCAGGAAGGTCATTGAGTACAGTTTTGGCTTGCCAGAAACTTTAAACTCTGTTGAAAGACAATTTCCAATGATGAATAGTATTTGGTCTCAAAGAAAACATCTCCTGAAGAAGAAGCAGCAATAAAAGAAATTTTACACTGTAAACTCAATACTAACTTCAATTAAGTAACAGTAAAAGGAATATTTTGGATGTTTCCATAGCATGATGGTTAAAAGCATGGAAAGTAAAATTGGTGTGCCGAGTTCAAACTACAGCCAAATATGTTGCATTCACTTTCACACTAAAATCCCTTGGTAAGGCAGAAATCAATCTCTTCTGCCCCCTAACTCCAGCTAAAGTTTAATAGCAGGGCAGACTGAGCACTTTATTTTGGTTGGCAACCAGTCTAGGGGATGGAAAACTGAATTCAAACCAGTTGGGTTAGGGTCTGGCAGTCCCACCCCATAAAATTACTTATAGAAACCACAGTAGCAATACCTAATGTAGTGAGGCTGTTGTCCTATACCTCACATGGGAGTCTACAGGACCTACTAATAATACTACTACTGAAGGGACCATAAATATTGTCAATTCATTAGTAACTTGAGTCATGGTGAGTTCTTTATAAAAAAGAAAAACTAATAAAAACGTTTTTTTTTAAGTTCATTCAAGTAAAAATATAATATGAACAGTCAAAGTGTTCAGTAAAAAATGAATACATTTAAGCATGCCTTGTCTAAGTAAATTTAGATAAATGTAAAAGATAGTTATCAATATTCATGTATGTGCGTGTATGTATGAGAGTGAGAGAGAAAAAGATAGAGTATGAACAAATGAGAGTGAGTGAATGAAAGTGAGTGAGTGAATGAGAATGAAAGAGTGAGTGAATGTAAGTGAGTGAAAGAGTGAGTGAATGTAAGTGAGTGAATGAGAATGAAAGAGTGAGTGAATGTAAGTGAATGAAAGAGTGAGTGAATGTAAGTGAGTGAGTGAATGAGAATGAAAGAGTGAGTGAATGTAAGTGAGTGAGTGAATGAGAATGAAAGAGTGAATGAGAATGAAAGAGTGAATGAGAATGAAAGAGTGAATGAGAATGAAAGAGTGAATGAGAATGAAAGAGTGAATGAGAATGAAAGAGAGTGAGTGAATGAGAATGAAAGAGAGTGAGTGAATGAGAATGAAAGAGAGTGAGTGAATGAGAATGAAAGAGAGTGAGTGAATGAGAATGAAAGAGAGTGAGTGAATGAGAATGTAAGTGAGTGAGTGAATGAGAATGTAAGTGAGTGAGTGAATGAGAATGTAAGTGAGTGAATGTAAGTGAGTGAGTGAGAATGTAAGTGAGTGAGTGAGAATGTAAGTGAGTGAGTGAGAATGTAAGTGAGTGAGTGAATGAGAATGTAAGTGAGTGAGTGAATGAGAATGTAAGTGAGTGAGTGAATGAGAATGTAAGTGAGTGAGTGAATGAGAATGTAAGTGAGTGAGTGAATGAGAATGTAAGTGAGTGAGTGAATGAGAATGTAAGTGAGTGAGTGAATGAGAATGTAAGTGAGTGAATGTAAGTGAGTGAGTGAGAATGTAAGTGAGTGAGTGAGAATGTAAGTGAGTGAGTGAATGAGAATGTAAATGAGTGAGTGAATGAGAATCTAAGTGAGTGAGTGAATGAAAGAGTGAGTGAATGAGAATGAAAGAGTGAGTGAATGAGAATGAAAGAGTGAGTGAATGAGAATGAAAGAGTGAGTGAATGTCAGTGAGTGATTGAATGTGAATGAACAAGCGAATACAAGCAAGTAAATGACCGAGTGACTGATCATGCGAGAGTGTGTGAGCCAGCATTAGTGAGTAAGAGTGAGCTCTGTTGCTTAAGGGTCTTGAAACACTATTATACAAGAAACTAAACCTTTAACAAAAATTCAAAACTTTCCAGGTTTGGTGTTTATGAAATTATGGTAAGCATAGCTTTGAGAAAAACCCAAAGTTGTAGAGAGCCAAGTCTGAACTGTAGGGAAACTGCAAGATCTATAGGTAATGCAACAGTTTGCCCTCCCCCCACCCACAATATCTGTGGATGTGACATAGAGAATCAATCTGCCCAGTCATGAATCTCATAGTTGCAGAATGCTTACTTAATGGCATCAGGAGAGTGTTTGATCACAGATGTGCAGTAAGGTCCTTTCTGACTGGTTGCAAAGTTACATCAAGACCATGGAACCTGTTCTCAATCTTTTACATTAGCTCAAGATCACCACAATTTCTTAATACAAACTTGAAACTTATATCACCAATTTCCTATTATTTTATTTGAAATTTATCTTAGAAAAGAATTCTTAAATTAGAAAATGGAAAAATATTTGATGAGATTTACTTCAATTATCATCTAAATACATGTGACCCAGAGCTTAGTGTACACATTTAAAGTTTATTTGAAATATTCTGACTCCAATTCACTGTGATCTAATGTATTATATATTTCAAAAGATAAAACAGTTTCTGGAGGAGAGTGAAAGACTCTTTAAAAAAACTACATTATATGATGACTGTTACTCACCCTCAAAATAATAAATCCATTTTTATCTGAATATTTATAGATGAGAAATTATCATTGTTATATATTGTGACGAGTGATCTCATTTTGGTTGTTATAGTTGTGTGTCTTTTGCAGTTGATAACCTGAAAATTTCAAATCAAACCCTTTATTCAATACATAGGGTTAGATTGTTCTCTTTCCACAATTCTTCCTAGAGGATATTTTGTATGAGTTAATTCTTCCTACTTACTTCATCCTTGCAATGCTACTTGACTGCCTCTTCCTCTTAAAAGGATATGACTATCAAACCCAGGAACTGAACTATACTATTGTTGTAACCTAGGGAAGGTTAGTGAATAGAATAATCATACAAAGGTTGATAATGAATGATAATACTTAGGACAAGAACAACACGTATTAGATTCCCCAGCAGCATGTAGAAGTAGTAGTCAACTCCTAGAAATGAGTTAAGTGAGTTCCACAATGAATCTCCAACTGCAGACCAACATACAGTATTTATTACTGTATTTATGTGAATGGGGAGATACCCATAATCATCTGTAGGTATGCTACAACAACTATGTTAAACTATTATTTATGAATCAATTTTTTTTTCCACAAAATTGTTAAGAAATATTGGTAAAATTTTCAGGATATATTTGTATATATGTATATATGTGTGTGTGTGTTTGTGTCTGTGTGTGTGTAGTTACTGATAGTTATTTAAGAACTATAATGATTATCATGTGTTATAAGAAACAAATAATCTCAAAATAGAAACAAGATATTGTAAAATTATTGAGTGATGAGAATACACTGTTGGAAATTGCAAAAAAGATGAATAGAGACCAGAGAAGAGACAAAAAAGAAAAGAAATTAGAAACATTGGCAAGAGAAGAACAAAAAAAAAACAAAATAACTTGGCTTTAAGAATGTGACAAAAAGATATTGGAGAAAAATCAAATAGGTAATAAGCAAGAAAAATAGATTGAGCACAAAGAAAACATTTAAAGAAACTGATGTTGTGAATGTAAATGTAAAGTGAAAAGATGAAGAATATCAGTTAAAGATATAAAAAAACAACCAAACAACAACCTTTGGGTAAACATCATAAAAAGAAATGTATAAATTGAGTAAAAATGTATGCAAACTGATTTGTCAATAGCAATTTTTAGTGTTGAATGAAGAATAACATAAAAGGGTTAGAGGTTGGGTCCTTCATGGAAATCGTCAACCAACACAGCTGAGTAGACAATAGTGGAAAGGAGTTATATTTTGGGGTAGTAATATATGCAAGAATAATATTTTTTTTTAAATCATTTCACCCCAAGAAAGGCAATAAAGCCACTAAGACATATGGGTGTTACTGAGTATGAAAAAATCTAAGAAAAAAAAAAAAAACAAGTAGCGAGAACAATAAAAGAGCAGGAATTAAGGAAACAGTAGATGACAATTGATATTGATCTTTAAAAATGTAAGTACAAAGTTGACTGGAAGTAAGAAACCAGAAGAGGGAGAAGTGTGAGAGAAGAAACTGTTAGCATAGAACTTATGGTTACATCTAGCCATTTCAACTGTGAAATGACGGGACCTTACTGTCAATCTAGTACTGTGCTGTGCTTAAACTAAACTACCACTTTTAAGCAAAAAAAAAAAAAAAGAAAAAAAAAAAGAAATGTTTAAGTCAGACAAAAGTCTCAACTGCAATTTTCAATGATGAATGTAAAGCTATATTGGTTGGATTTAGACATTTGTTGAAAAGTAGAATAATTGGGTTTTCGGTTCTTATTGTAGGTAGTAAAACTATAGATCCATTCAAAATTGATGTGGATTCAAGATAAATGTCAAAAATTATTTTAAGTTTTTGAACAGAATTTTTTTGTGTGGTACACATCATAACCAAGAATCTTTCAGCGAAAAATCATTTTCATGTAAAACAATGCCACTTCACATTCTACAAAGTTCACTATTGCCCATCTTGCTAAAATATAGACCAACTGAATGGAATGGCTCCTAGCCTGTCCAGATATTAATCCAACAGAAAATGTGGTTTGTCTTTAAATAGATGTATGATCTCTGGTAAGTAATGAAAATTGCTTTAAGTAAGGTTAAAATCAAAACAGTAGAAAGAAAAAAAAAATCAATGAATAAAAGAGTGATGAAGGTTATAAAATGCTAAGGAGCCCATATTAACATGTAAAATAAAATTGTTTCTATGGCTATTTTTTGGATTTTTTTTATAGCTAAATCCATGTTGTAATAATATATATATATATATATATATATATATATATATATTTTTTTTTGAATAAAAACAGACCACTTTAAGGTTCCATGTAATAAATTATTTCACCATAACCCCTTTAACAGGGCTCTGGATCATCAGACTTTACTTCCAAAGGTTGAAATGAAAAATGAAAATAAATTCACACGTTTTTGACGGACCGCATCAAGCATACGTAAAATTAACGAAGTGAGGAAGTATGGTGGGAGAGAAGATAAGATATGAGTGGGTTAGATGTACCATTTCAATTCCTTATTCTTAACCCCACTGTGTGTCGGCTAACGCGTATTGTCTCTAGATATAGGTGGGTAAGGGGTGGGGGAGAGGACCGACATTAAAGGAAGAAGCTACAACAACCCTAATAAATTACATTCCACGAGGGCAGGTTTAATTCAAAATCTTAGACGCTGTTAATTCGTATTACTTTAAAGGGCATATTTGGGAGGTTAAAGTTTGATATAAATCTAAATGTCTAAATAATCTACGAAGAATTTAATTTGAAGTTTGTTGGAGTTTTGGGTATTTTCTATGAAATAGTCGATTCGAAAAACTCGTAGAGAGTACATTGAAAAAGTAATCCATTTTATATTTAGTAATCTTTTTTATTTTTCTAAACTCGTATCTTGTTGATTATTAAGTTGACATCTATTCGTTTGATTTTTGTTCATTAATTAAATAAACTCGAGTTGATTATTCAGTGACATCTATTCGTTTCAGTTTTGTTCATCGATTAAACTTGTGACTTTTTTAATATACCTACATAATTATCAAAGGTTCTTTCAATTTAAATAACTTTATCGTCAATACTAATTGTTAAAGGGTAGTATATTTCAATTTAAATTAAATTACCAATTTAAACTTTACCTCCGTGTTATTTAAACTCACTTCCAATTGGAGAATATTAGAGGAGAAATTTGGATAAAATATTACTAGGAGAAAATTAAGTCCTTCTTTTACAATCTTTTATATATCCATAATCCATACTCATATACATTTCCACACATGTCCGAACCCCTATCTATATCCACCTACCTATATCTCACTATATACCTATGAGTTCTTATATACACCCGCACACACATCCACACGAAAAACTATATGTATATTCCCGTATTCACACATATACACCTGCAGAGAAACACATACATACATATCTACACATACCCTTATACTTACATATATACATATACACATATAAAATCACCTGCATATCCATATACATCCATGTACATATGCACATATACATTTACACACATATGTATACACACATACATAATATGCAATATATCCACATACATACATACGCGTACATATGCACGTACACACATATACACACGGACATGTCTCTATCCTCATGTCCACCCATACACCCACTTATGCCTGCATTCGAAGACTATATCAATATTTAATTATGTTATGGATACCCAAATCATATAATTATACCTATCTTTACACATGTATTACCCGCTCTTTCATATCTATGGTAAAACATATAGGTACCTATCTAATTGTACACTACATAGAGAGAGAGAGAGTTAGATAACTCAAACGACCAGATATAAGCAACCGTACATGTGCGTGTTGGCATACATACATAAACCATAAATAATCATAATAAATACTCATCAAATTTATTCATGAGGTGTAAACAGTGGTTAAACATAGGAAAGATATATATATATATATATATATATATATATATATAAAAGGTTCCATTGGTATATCTTTCCACTAAGTTATATACACATATATAACTTAGTGGAAAAATATACCAATGAACCCTTAAAGTTGTTTGTTTTCATTGAATTAATTGCTCTGATTTAACATTGAGCTCTCTAGATTTCATCCTCCTTGGGATTATCCATACGGATTACCAAGATTTTCATTACTCATATATATATAATTAAAAAAAATAAAGATATATATATATATATATATAATTAAAAATAATATATATATATATATATATATATATATATATATATATATATATATATATATATATATATATATATATATATATAT